AAATGCCAACAGACTTGTGTGGTAGGATAAAAAGCTGATTGATGCATTTCTTGTCCCCGTAAGTCGTACATCCCGTAGGCCACTTACCCATTCAAACTCCCCTACAGTGCTGATTGGAGGTCAGATGTATGGCCACTTCTCAAAACAAGATTGATCGACCACGAAAAGATCCACCCTTAATGCTTTTATAGTTTTGTAACTGTTTCAGATCATTACGATCTCGGAAACGATATGTTTCGTATGTTTCTCGATCCTTCGATGACCTATTCCTGTGCCCTGTTTGAAGGTAAACAATCGTCAAGTTTTTTTTCCTTCTTGGCTTCCCTTAATTTTTCCCATTGATTTTGTAAATCCAACTTTTTTTTCAAATAGAAGTATATTAAGACCATAGTCCGATTTCAGAGCCGATCAAGCCAGTAGATGAGGTCGATTTCCGAATCCTGGAAGAAGCACAGATCCGGAAAATGGATAGGTTGATCGGGTTACTTGATTTGAAGGCAAGTGACAGAATACTGGAAGTTGGATGTGGTTGGGGATCATGTGCGATTCGGGCGGTAAAGGTTAGCTGTGAAGGGCACCCACCCTGTTTAGCGACCATCTAAAGCTGTGGAATTCTAGAAAACGCCCTGTAACTGGACTGGAATTACAATCTCTCATGAACAGCTGGAATGGGCCAAACGACTTGCAGCTGAGGCAAATTTAGAAAACAATATCACCTTCAAGTACCAGGATTACAGGTAACAGTTCTCAAAAGCTGTGTGGGTATGGGAGCCCTGTTATCGGTGGGACAGCTGTCGATACAAAAACCTTTCGTTTCAGGTTAACAACCGGCCAATATGACAAAATTATATCTGTAGAAATGATAGAGGCGGTTGGACAAGCATTTCTTCCTCAGTACTTCCAAGTGCTTTCTGATAGACTTCTCCCTGGTGGAATCGCTGTCTTACAGGTATTCTGTGAATGCGGAGAATTCTTGTCTTTGTACACTAATTGCTTTATAAGAAAGAGTGATCCTGGACTTGATTACCAGTGTATGTCACGGCGATGTACAGAATTTTTGATTGTGTTTCAACTTGTCAAAGCTGTTTTCAAGCCATCTTGGCCCTTGCTGACCAGTTAAGCTCCAGCAATCTACAACGCTGTGACATACATCGTTAACAGCAATACCACGGAAGTATGTCACGGCATTGTAGTTTGCGAATCGTGACTAGTGGGTTGATCAAAAAGTCTTAAACACTAATTAATCCTTTTCTGAGTGCGTCCCTACTTCCATCCTCACAAACGAATCTGGTGTCGATTGACCGTCCTTAGAGGGATGAAACAGTCGGTTACCTAGAGAATAGGGAGCGACTCGGGATTTGATCCTGGACCAGTTTTCATTACCAAATATTTCTACGTAGCAGTAGTGATTAGCAATCATTATGAGTATTCGCGATTGTTACGACTGATAAAAACTCCTTTGCAGGGTATAATCTGCCCGGATGCTTACTATGACCGATATTGTCGATCATCGGACTTCATCAAGAAATACATCTTTCCAGGCGGACATATGCCATCCATAGGTACGAATCTCGAGGTCGTCATTGCCTTGCAAATTCGGGAGGCACGTTTTAAGAGTGCAAGGACCAGAATATCAATAAAACATTACCATTCTGTAATTTCCCCAATCGTTTACAGGTGCCATCAAATCTGCCCTACCAGCCGATCTCACTTTGGGTGAAATGAAACACATTGGGAGGCATTACGCGGCTACCCTCGATCATTGGTATAGGTAAGTCAATACTTTTCGATGAATGGGACACTGAATACCTACTCCACCTTTGAGCTACCTACAACCTCCTAAAGTAGTTGAGGAACTGGTTTTCAACGTACATCGCAGTCATCTGACTCTAAGGTCACTTTCAGTCGCCGGTGGACGAGATCAGGAATCAAGACTTTTTGTTAATGGACCCTGTCCACACCCATTCTCCGGTTAATCGAATTAAGCCGCTCCTTGGTCTTTAGGGTGCGGCGCATAACCTCGTTAACCGAACTACTTCGTCTTATATTGTTCCACAGAATTGAACCCTCCGTCACGTAGCGGAAGTAATTCGATGCCATATTTAGCGCTACCGTAGATCGTCGAGAACGAAAAGTGGACGAAACCTGGTCGAACGTTCCGGGAGGGACCTATCAATAGACCCGTGATTTGGATTTACGACAGTAATGAGAGAAAGACCTAGAAGGAGTGGCTCAAAGCGGCTTTTTACACCATTTCCAGACCTGGTGAGGTTTTTCCTACTGAAACGTATAAGCTGAGAGCTGCAGGACTCTGAGCTCAATGAACTCCCAAACACCTCGGCGATTTAAATGGGAGGGAGGTTCCTGGCACGTGGAGGGTTTCATCTGCTCAATCTCATCGCTTTTAGTTTGGGGATGAGCTTCTTCTGGAAGTTTTACCTTACACTTTCTGCTTTTCAATTTCAGTGCCTGGATGAAAAACGAAAAGGAAATTCTGGCGCTGGGTTATTCTGAATCATTCCATCGACGATGGCAATACTACTTCTGCTTGTGTTCGGCTCTATTCGCCAATGATCATATCGACACCATACAGTTCACCCTCACCAAATCTTTGTAGGATTATGTACTGTAGAAAAATCGTCACAACCTATAGGCTTCTGCCAAATCTAATAACTATTGCTTTATGATGCTCTTAAGGTTCTCTAAAGTGCTACAGTGGATTTCATTTCGATATGTAGGGTTATGTACAACACGAAGTAGTTTTTCGTTCCTCTCATTTTCAAATAACTTCTCGAAAATCAATAAAAAAACTAATAAATATTGAAAAACATCAAGGCTATGTCATAGTTTCGAGATTCAGTGGCAAAGTGCTGGTGAAGAGTAGTGCCCTATGGCAAAAAAGCGAACAAATCCGGCGATAAGAATTTGATAAAAATAAGGCTCCTTATCGTAGTGAAAATAAAAGTTGTACGAGATTCCCATAAGGGAAATGACATGGGAAGGGTATGGTATTTAGTCGAGATTTTAGTGGTGCAGTTGCGTGAGTGGTGAGTTGAATTCGTCATGCCAAAATGTCCAAACCTTTCTTCCGTCGTCATGAAACATGACCAACTGTTTAAATTCCCCCTTTTGCCCCTGGGTGGGTGCCCCTTTTGAACGGTGTAGGCTCTACAACACCATTGAAACCCGCCGCCTTTGGGTGTGGCATACAGCAGTTACAACTTCGAGCCATTATAGTACCCTACCTCGACCGTTGCGGCAGCACCACATATGATATCCGGAGATGGGGCATAGATTCATTCTAGGGAGGCATCTCAGAAACCATTTCTATTGTGAACTGTACCCTACCTTTGAGGGTAAAGTTCACAAGACTGGATTCTGTCAAGCGCACGGCATTTCTTCGCCATTGCGCGACGATTTTTGCTAGTTATCTCGTGACACTGAATAACTCAGGTAATAAAATAAAATAGGGTAAAACAAGATAGTCAAAGATGGAAAAAAATGAAAACAGATAATTAAGTAAGACGAGTTAAAACCCAGCACTCAACTCCCAATGCTAACCCATGAGATGTGTTTCTTGGAGTAGTTGGTGTTTGAATACTCCCGGAACGATGCTCGCCTAGGCCAACCAAGCCTTCCATCACCTCGGGGTCGGTGAATTGGTACCAGACTCGTCTGGGAGGATAAAAGCACTGACTTGTACATCGGCTGGCCAACGCAAGTCATTGTATAGGCCATATACGCACTCATTACGCCACTACGATTCTGAATGGAAGTCTAGTGCGGGGGCGCATTCCTCAGACGGGATTGATTAACGCCAAAAACTTCAAAACTTTTTAACTTTAAAATACAAACAATATGTATAGTAAGGTTTATTTTTATAAACAATAACAGATCACTAAATATTAGCAATCACTTGTCAATAACAAAGCACTATAACATAACGATTTTTATGATAACAACTAATTAAAAGGGAACAGCTATGTTCTGTTGGCGAGTTAAAAATTTGAGCATTTTTTTAACAAAAAACCGGACCCAAGGTCCATAAGTACACAGAACAAGGAGTCCAGAAAAACGACCAATTGAGGAGTACTGTACTAAGGCGACGTCAGAGTAGAGATATAGAGTCGCGCAAAATTTTATGGATTTTTGCTTTTACAGAAATTTTTTCGAAATACCCTTAAAATCGGTCTCAAAACTTTGTTGCATGCTTTTTGCTGCAAGAAAATGAGTTGCTGAGAACGGAGCCAAGTACCTTTTGGAGAAATTAAATATGAAATCTTCCAATCATTTTGGAATCTTTTAAAAAAAGTCTGTGAAAACTAAAACCCATAAAATTTTACACGGTTTTGCTTACATATGCCTAAGAGTATATACTAGCTGACAACGTGTTCAAAAAGCTTTAATGCATTCAGAAATTTTGATTTGCTTTCAACCCTGCTGGAGCACAATCTTAAAATGTACTTGTATCCAAATAAAATAAAAATAATAGAAAAAAACGAAGGATTTTGAAAATGAGAATTTTCGGGTTAGCAAAATTCTCCACAGGAACAATGGAACCGCTTTCACCGTAGGCCGCCTGAATAGTCACGTCTACTGCGGAAAAGTGTCGGCATTACACCCGTGCGCTCCAGCCTGAGAAGTGTTGGAGCGCGCGCGTAAAATCGATTCTTAGTATAGGGCAAGAGTAGGTGTGACTATTTTGTTCCGTTACGGTACTAAGAAGTACTAGAGAAACGATTCGCTGTGTAGACATCAGAGCTATAAGCACAATTGATGGACTCAAACTAAAGTATAGATAGATTCTATAGGTACATGCCTTCTCAGAAATCGAAAATAACTAATATCCTAATGGAAGGAACGTGCGAAACTTCCGTGTATAGTCCTAGATCTATTCTACCTAAGTGATTTGAACCTTCGGGAATTTCAGGACATGCAAGAAGGTATACTAATTAGTGGATTGAAAGGGAGTTTCAGTCTAGTCTGTTCAAAGTCCAACTCTAAGGTACCAGAATAAGTCTAGTAGACCGTCCACCGACCAATCATCATTCCGTTCAGTTGAGTACGTGCACTTTCTTCACGCCATAGAGATCCGCTAGATCATTCTGAAACAGAATTTGCAATATTTGCCTTTCAAAAGTAGCGAAAACGTTGAGCAAACTCCAGTCTGGGGGCGGAGCCTGCGTGCCTTCACTCCCTCCCGATTGGGCAGTTCATAGATAGATCAAAAATTGACCAATCAGAAGTGCCCCGAGTCTTGGCAACACCAACTCTCCCCCTTTTTGGGGTGCTCAACGCCCTAACTGCCTTCAGCATCCATAGGCGATACGAGCACTTACGGCATATGTGATCTGATTTGGATGGTACGGAATTCCACCAAGCTCTTCAACGATTTTCTCATGATTTCTCTCTGGATCACCAGGAATCAGTACTTTCTCATCTGGATTGACCTAAACTCTCAGCAGATTGACATGAATAGCCTTAAGAGACAAGCTACCTTAAAGCAAAACCTACGGAAGGAAGGTTCCTCATTGTGTTCATAAATTCTTGTAATCGTCCAGCGAATCCAGGCGCAAAAGCTTCTGGATCAATTGCGATGAAGCACTGACCCTGAAAAACCATGGATTACTGTAGACTAGGTTCTAATAATGGGTATAAATGATTGGAACAGAGCAAATTTTGACTGAAACTGACCAGATCAGCGTCTACTTCAGCAGACATCCACTTTCGAATGTTTGGTCCCCAGTGGGCTCCACCGAGAATTCCGCAGAATATCTCCACGACTGAACCCAGCCCGTAGCCTTTGTAGCCACCTGAAAATTTGAAAATTAGGGTACCGTTTATACGAAAATCTCGAAGGGAAGGACAGCAGAGCCAATTAAATGAAAGGGGGTTTCCATGGATAGAATAGAGGTCGCCGATCACCCATCAGGTTCCTTTCCAGCACTTTCAGTGAGCAGAGAGGAAAACAAAGAGGAAGAGGAAATGAGGGAAAGGTAGGACGGCGCATGAGGTTTTTTTGAAGACGATCTCAAATTTCAGTGGACTACGGCCTAGGGTTGCCCATGATTCCGATGATTACTGATTCCCAGCTCTCTGAGCTACCCAAACGGTCGGGTAGACAAAGAAGAGTATGGCAATGAGAGATGATGAGAATGATGTTGAGAAGAACATGAATATGCCACAGTAAGCGATACTTACCACATATCTCAGAACCACCAAGTGGCAATAGACCTCCTCCAGAAAGAATCTCGTCCGGTTTATGGCTCATCACACCTCCTTTGGCAACACCCCATGTGTTTGGCACTTCCTGGCCCTTTCTCTTGGCGATTTCAACCTAAATGAAGCTTTAGGCGTAGTTATTAAAGTTGAAGTTTTCTCAGTTTCTACAATTTTATTTGGGCAGATTCTTCGGGCATTACTGGTTTCAGCTAATTACTTTGTTTTTAAAGCCGGACCTTGCAGTAGGATTACGGGTATGTTTAAGGCCAGGCGACACAAGACCAAGGACTTGGAGGAGTGCCAATAGTCAGAGGAGTTCAATTCCCTCACCTTGCGCAACGACTTCCTTTCCGTAGCGTCCCGCTCATAGGGGCACTTCAGTAGTGCTTCACACCAAAACCAGGAACCAGGTCTACGTAGATTTAGGGGGGCTGTTACCCTTCTTCCCCCCCCCCCCCCACCTTCTGTTAGTGTTCTGATAAGAATCAGTCGTTTCTGAAACTCTAAAACCCAAAGAGTAAACCCATAATCGTTAAATACCAGCCAAGTACGCAGATGAACGTAAGCCTGAGCAGAATCTCCTAAAATTCTATGATAAATGAAATTCATGGCTCATCCCATGACTTTTAGGACAAAAAACTTGGCTGGGGATCGATCAGTAGTTTCAGAAAAAAAAGATGATTACCTTGCCGATAGCCACAGTGGTGGTAGCCATATCCAGTAGATAAGAATCACCTCCAGCTGCATTAGCTCCGATTGCTATTGGATTTGTGCCAAGAGCTGGTTTTGCAGCTCTTGTCGGATACATTATAGGAGATGTATTGGTGCATGATATTCCCTTAATTGAAGATTCACTATTAAAAATGAGCTTTAGAGAAAAATCCACATCACAAAAATCCCAATAGCGAGTGCTCCTACTTGTAAAGGCTGATTCAAAAGAAGATGTCGTGAGACGGAGTAAAGTTACGAGTGATGAAAGATGATGGCTGAGAAGACGATCAGTGGCAGTTTTGTAGGTAATATGCTCCGGCGATACTGTACATACATACATACTGTACAATCCGTGCATCTCTGACCCCAACTAAAAGGCACGGCTCACGATAATTCTGAGGTACCCCTCTTATTCGAAAAGCACAAGTAAAGATTGGGAATATTTCATCGGTAGCGAAGAAAGCGAGAAAATTCGCCGATTCCGAGAAAAAACGGCTTTTCAAAAGTAAAGAAAGTAGAGGTTGGACGAGATTGCCTTGACGGAAATAGCATGGAAGGGGTATTCGGACGAGATTTCAGTTACTGCAATTGCACAAAGAGCTAACTTCATCAAGCCAGAACTATATAGAACTGTCTTTCACTGCCGCTATGGGTAATGACAAGTTGTGTGAACTTTCTACGTGGGTTACCTCGTGATCGGTGGAGCCTCTACAATGCCGGTGAAACTCGTCCGAGGATACACACGAGCCAATCTTTGAGCCTTTATTACTTCCTAACTAGGCCGTTTTTCGACCTAATAGTGCCAGATATGCTATACGCAGGGGACTCAGAATCATCCTGTGGGAAGTCTCAGAAACCATTTTTATCGTGAACTGCGCCTTCAACTCGTACACCTCATAGAATCAGGTTTTAGCAGGGCCCTATGGCCCTACTCATATGTTTCAACGATATTTGGTCATTCACACACGAAAGCAATATTAGCATTACTCTCTCCCATGCTTCACCTATACTCAATGATTAAGAACACCGTCGTCAAATAAGAAACTGAATACGAAATCTTATCAATGAAGAGGCCGCAGTTTTGTCGACCCTCCAAGGGGGTATTTTAGAGAGGGAGCTCCTGTAACCGGTGGCAAAATGGTATCAAATCGCGTGATATCACACTGGCACGGTATTATCATTGAGATTTACCCTTCCGTCACCAGGTAACATATGAATTGTACCCGCAGACATTTCGAAGTTTGCTGAGGTCGGAGCAAACCTACTTCTCTACCAATTATGATATGATAAGGGATAGGAGGAGCCGACAGTCGTCAAGGCTCAACCTAATGTGAATTTATGGCTGCTGTTACAAACCCACTACTCTTCTGATCGGATAATTGGCATTTACAACCCTTTTCGAAGTGATGGGATCTTGAACTGGTAGAAGGGAGCATAAGAACTCTCTAATCACAGTGATAATGGAGGAAAAAAACGAAATGGCGTCCTTTCTTATCGGTCAACCAATCGAAACGGTCACGCAATAATGGTGATAACGATTGATCATCAATGAACTTCACATACCTCCTACTATACCACCTTCCAACCCTCAGATGGTGCACACACTCAGAAATGGATATCGATTTTACGCGCACAAAGGAGGACGGATTCGCAAATTTTCAAAGTGGAAGGCAGTCCAACTTTTCTAAACTCACCATAACGCCTTGCTTCATGGCCCTCATGACATACCATCCAGCAATGCCGAAATGGTTTGACCCTAAACAACAGCATATTCCAATCAGTTTAGAGATTCAAAGAAGCTCATATAAACAACAGAGCTCAGACCTTTGCAAACGACCCATCCAACACCGGCTTCTTTAGCTTTCTTGACAGCCAGATCCATACAGAAATTACCAACCACAGGGCCTAGTAGACTATTGCCATCTACCCAAGCCGATCCTGCTCTCTCCTGGAAACGGTAGCATAGTGCAGAGAATGTAATAAAGTATAATTTGATGAGGAATCATAGCTCATACTTTCAATATTGTCGGAGTTCCATCCAATTTACACACTTTTTTCCTGCAATCTCCCACATACATATCTGAAAATATTAAAATCATACTAGAGGGAAGGCTCAGGAAGGCTTAAATCGTCTAGTGCAGTAAAAAGACCCGCAGGTCACCCCTAGGGAGAAGTGCCAAATGAAAGGCTTACCCAGTCGGTTCAGTCCATGACTGTAATGGCCACGAACATCTGCTTCGACCAGTACGTCGGCCAGTTGTTCTGCATGAGAGACTGCAACCCCTTGTTTCTGCATAATATCGATGATGAACCGCCGCATCTGAAGGTGAAGAATTACATTCAATGAAGGAATTGTTTGGAAATGTACCTTCAAGAAAGATTTTCCCCTTACTTAGGTTAAATTACCGGCTAATACTAGTAGTATTAATGTGCTTGTGTTCTAGGTATTAAAATGGATCTCTGATTGAGTTTGTTCGATCACAGTGGAGGTAAACAACCTCACAACCCTGTCGAACTGTCACGATTACACAATATCCACTGACTGCCTCAGTTTTTCTTTTTTTCTCGTTTTTTTTTNTTTTTTTTTCCTTTTTTTCATTTTTCCCAATAGCAAATAGCCAGGGTAGTTGTCTGCGTTCTGAGCGATGTTGCCTTCGATTATACCTATCTCTTTTATTTATTTTGACTATAAAGAGGTTCCTAGAGGTATACTAAAGAGGTTATAGCCAAGAGTTTTTTTGCCTCACTTAAGCCCTGCTCTAAACAAACATTGTGGATTGGAAAGCTGCTCCAAGAAGTCGAGTGTAACTTCACTTATTTTTTTTCAATGTTGGCAATATTCCCACCAAATATATAAGTAATAGTAGATGGTAGTATTGGGAAAACCTTGAAGAGGAGGCATGACCAGTTAAGATCCCTCAGTATCACTTTACCCACCTAATACGAGACCAGTGCGCTGTGTGAACCAATATGCCTTCGCTCAAAATCTCAGATCAACTTTTGAAAGGTCAGTGTTTGGTAGATCAGCGAGAAATCCCGAACAGCGGCCAATATTCTCTTCGATTCCTATGAACACCTTCTTATCAGCACTGTTCGTGTTTCAGTCGATTGCAATTGTTATCGCTCTTTTACTGCAATAGCATGATATCGTTGTTGACAGTGGCAGTCGATTGTAATAACTCTCGTGGGCACCCAAACAAACTGCTGACTAGGAAGAGTAACTAGTTAGCAGCAGCTTGGAATCTTGTCTAAGCACAGAAGCATGCACGGCATTCGATTTTGCTTTTACCAACTCCGTTTTTTTTGAATTTTCTCCGCTTCTACTTAGTTTTACAGCAATTAAAGTCATTAGGTTCTTATCCCTCTATTCGAGTGTCATTGGAGGTTTTACAAGAAAATCCCCCGACCGATTTGGAGTAATTTGTGGATCTTTAGACCTTCATATCAACGCCCTTTCATTTGATGATTGGCCTTAACTCTTCTTGAATCATAACCAGTGATACCGAGTGATAAGATCATACCGTAAGTCACAGGTGAGCCCAAACAATCAATATCGAACTGTCTGGGTGGTTTAAGAGTGTCATGACTGTCTGGGAAGCTGAGCTGGTACTCAAGATCGTCAAGTAAGTTATTTGCTCCTTGGTATCCACAGCTACCAGTCTGGGTATTGTTCCCAGGGTAGGAAAGTAATTTACCCACTACTGACTAGACCCTATCTGACTACTACCATTACCGTAAGAGATTTCGAATGGCCACGTTAAAGGCTACCATAGGAGTACCCTGAAGGATCCCCAGGACATCTTCCTCAGGAGTACTGCCCCTCAAGAAACGAAAAAAGTGTGAGGAGGAAGAAAAAAAGAGCTGTAGGTGCAGAAAAATCGGAGAGTTACCTAAGGAAAAGCGATAGAACTTACTTCATCCTTCTTGACGATTTTCTCATGAGGAGCTGCCATTCTTGTAGCAAGTAATCGTCGTGTAGCCGACAGAACTGGGGCTGATTGTTGTCGCCAAGCACAAGGACCAAAATGGGCGGACCATGTGGTGAACCCAAAGGAGGCAAGGCTTTGATATCGCGAAAACATGGCCTAGTCGTTGACGGTCGTAGGGTGTCTTGGTGATAAAAGACTGAGCCCCGTTGATTCTGTCCGGCCGGCAGCCAGTGGAAAACAAGTGCAAGTGCTCGGAAAATCGATATTTGTTATCGTCACAATTTTTTTTATTTTTGAGTTTGACAGTCTGTCATCAAGATGGAGTATGTTTCAGTGGAAGTAGGGAATAGCCAAAAGTGCAATTGAAACCCTTCCGAAGGGACTTCAAAGAAGTCCGTTGATGGAAGACTTCGAATTAGGTGGAGAATGACCGATAAAAGGGCAGATATTGCTCACAAAGCCTCCGGGCAGGCAAACATACATGGGTGTTCACTCCACTTTTAGATGGGTGGTCATGATACTTGAAACTCCTACAAGTAGATGAGCTCCAAAATAGAAAATTGACGAAAATCGGAACTGTAACAAATACGGTAACAAGTTTCTAGAGACAAAAAGATCTCGAAATCTACAAATCACACAGATACACCGACGGGTTCCTTGAAATGGACTGGCTTCAAGGTCTAGGAAAACCACGGGGACGGCAATTTTCGAAAACAGGAATACCTCTACAAAGGATGGGGATCTGTTGGTATCAGGGCTGAATGACCCTCAGAATTTTAGAGATTTTCGATGCTTTTGTCACAATTCCTGATATCATTTCGATAAAACCTCAAAAAGGGAGAGGAACCGGGAATAAATTCCAAGTACGGAGGCTCGGTGAGTCCCTTAGATCTCTTTGATGACATTTACTTCCTTTAGGTTGCAGTTTTGTACAAGTTCATCCTGAAATGAGCTACTAATCGTACGCAAAGCTGTAGACTAGTAAATCAAACAAGAAGCTAAGCGGGGCTCCGACAGGAGGTAAGTCGGACGAGAGCCGCTGTGCAAATGGCCCAGAATCGGAAAAGGAAGTGTGAGCTCGACAGAAGGGAAAATGCCACCTGATAACCAATTTCTGAAAGAGAACCGTCAAAGAATTGCTGGCTATAGCACACAATAAAACGCCCATAAAGAAGAAACCATTGATATTCTATTTCCTATCGATTTTGGAGAAGAACGGTGAATTCTATGGGAGCAACGAGTGATTCACAAAGCCGTTCAGAATGACGTTGTGCAGTGTTTTCTCTGCGGACGGTGTGACTCCGTAGGATAAACAATAGGGTCAGTTGCGGGGATCCAAAGTTCAATTTCGAGTGAGACGTTGAGAGCTACTTAGAGCCCTGGGTAGCTCAAAAAGTATCAGCAGACATTCTTTTCAACCCACTTGTTACCCATATCAATATCTCGAGGTATTCCTGATCTCATTCGGTTGCGAAGAGCTCCCGCAGAGTTCGTTCACTAGCTTCTTATGTATTTTCTCCTTATCACCCCGTATTAAGAGTTTCAAAAACGGATCGGCCTGTAATTACTGATAAGAGTTATCAAACAGTTCGGTAGTTAATCTAATAAAAATTCTATCCGCGACAAACGCCAAGCATCTTTGTTCAGTTCCGACAAATACTTTTCATGGGGCCGGGAGGCGCCATTCCTATTCTCGGTCGAGGTCGGAGTAGCCGCGGAGCAGCCGAGCGGTCGCCAAAGCACGTTGGGTGGCACCCCTTGACCCGTANCGTATCCTTTGCTGAAGAGGAGTGCACAACGCCCCTGCGATCTAAATGGGGCGGTCATGTATCATCCGTAGAGGATTCTGCTTACCATTGGGATTCCAGATGAGGTAGGAGAGGTAGAGAGAGAAGGGGCGAACAATTGAATGTGTTCTCCAAATCATTAAGTTCAATATGAATCTAGAGATTAAAAGAGTAATCTTCCTTTCTCTTCACTCGTTTTTTTTCTCCTCAGGACAATTGCAATCAGTTGAAGGAACGTTACACCTGTGATGGATCACATACGAAAGGTTCAAAGAGTTGCGCTTAAGGTTTCCCAAACTTTCCACGGGACTATTAGATTGATCCTATTTAATTGCACCTGTAAGTTCACTGCCTCCGAGTGGTAACGTACCTCAATCAACAGAGGTATCTTTCCTTTAGTAATGATACCTTTTCAAAAGTTGTTCTTCCTGCAGACTCGAAAACTTTCAGAAAGGGGTGCCGTAATCATTGCAGGATTCTTAATTCGGAGCTGCTCGCTGCTCGCCTGTCGAGCATATCTACCGCAAGGGGCCAAGGGAAAGAGCGTCAGGATTTCCCGAACTGCAACCACCCAACGTAGTCTGCAAGTCTGAGCGATTCTGACGCTCTTTTCCATGATCCCTTGCGGTACATATGCACGACAGGAGGACAACCCGATTGATAGCTATTTCGTTTTGGTCTGATTCATGGGCAGTGAGCAGTACCTATGAGATTTTATGGAACTTGTAACCTGACCCTGTTTTTGTTGAATTCCTCTGTCATTTCTTCGCACGTGAGGAGAGGTAAGAGCAGAAGTCCGGCCTCTGGTGGGACCTGAACCCGTACCTGGAGGAGGCGGTGCTCTAGTAGTGCAAAGGAAGAAGCGTTAAAAAAAAATAGGAGTGCAGTTCAAGGTTTGAGTCCCATTTGAGGACGAGATTTTGAAGGCAATTCAGAGACCCTGAAAAAAATTCTTCCAAACCTCTACAGATGGATAATTTTCAAATTAAAATTCGAGTTAGAACGTCGTGTTGAAGAATGGTCGTGTTGAAGAATGGAAGTTCTGTGGCGTGAAAGCCAATGAGGTTTCATGAAATCTTCGATATCTTTCACTGCCTTCTCCGCAGTTCTTTATGTTGTTTCGATGAGAAAATATTCGAAACAGCGAGGAAAACATCGAGTAGAAATTATAAATAGGTGTGTTGCTGAGTTTCATAGCACTTTTCATCAAACTTCCTTGATAACCGTCACTTTCTTGATTTTGTACTTTTGAGCGAGTTCGTCCTGAAACGAGCATAAATGGTTCGTATCCAGAACTGTAAATTCGTCAAGTAAACGTGCAGTTACATAAATAGGACTTTGATCGAGAACGACAGTTGTATGTATAGGCCCTTGAAGGATAAAAAAGTTATTGAGTTCTTACCTTGTTAATACTAAGCCCATTGGTTGTAGAAGGGACCCTCTCACTCCCCCAATCTCGACGTCCAGGGCCTAGTGGCAGCCCCGTTGTTGCCGTAGTT